CCCCCCCCCCCCCTCCCCGTCCCCAATAACTGGAAAAAGGAAAAAAAAAACAAAAAAGATAAAGAAGATTAATACGAAGTCTGCAGCGACTACGATGTCCCTAGAGTGCCTCATCAACAGCACATAAAAAGTATAATAAGCTGTGATCAACCCTTTTTCAAAAAAATAAAGAATACAGAAAAAAAAAATGACACTGAATGGAACAGATCAACAAAAATAATTGGCCAACGCACGGGGTGCCCGTGCGAAAATGCGTTTTTCGCACAGTTTCCCGCAGTTTTTGTCGTTACCGGCATCGGTTTTTCGGCAAATGCTTCTAGCTGAAAAAACTACGACTGGCCACAAGAACTGGCAGGAAACAGCCCTTTAAAATTTCAGCTTTCTAGCTTTCCTGATTCCTGAGTTATCACCTACTTGGACGAGGAACATCCCCCTAAGATTTCAGCGCTCTGGCTTCTCAGATCCACGAGTTATGAACTTACCCCAAAAAAACTTTGGCGGGCCCATACGCGGGTACCACCCGGGTGATGACGCTAATTTTGGGGATTGGGGCTGACACGTGCATGCAGATTAAGTTCCCAAAATCTCAGCCCTGCAGCTTTTATAGGTCTTGGGATGAAAGTGCATGACAGACGCACACACAGACACGGAGGCGCACAGACAAACAGATACACGGGCACACAGACGACCCCTCGTCAATATGCGTTTTTGCATTGCATAGCTGCAAAAAACGCATAAAAAGAAAAAATAAAAGTAAAATAAACACCTTGCTTTGTCTGGCATTCATCTCTTCTCGTTGCTGAGCCAATTTATCTAGCTTTTTTCGAGCTTCGTTCAGCTCATTCTCATAAATCGTATATTCAACGGCTCTAAAAAGCATAACTTAAATTCCGGTAATCCTATTTTGGTAGATAATTCGAACAGAAAACATGACAATCCAGTGCAAACACACGCTTTACGCAGCTACGCCGGGCCCTTAGATCCTTTCGTTCCTTCACCTGTACTACCAACTCTGGGGATCTATGGAACTAATCCAAATCCATTTTTCAGCAAACCATTCCTTGATCCTTGATACAGAGTTTCCGTCACTGACGCGTGCTGAGATTTAATCCAGACTTATATATTTAAGGTTAAGTGAAAATCTCGGCGAAAAATGTAGGAATGGATGATAGAAAAGGTCAAAAAAGAGTAAAAAAGGGAAATATGTAAAAAGAAGTAATAAATTAGGTAAGAAATGTTTCGGTCCATTAAGTCGTATACATTTCTATATGTTGAAATATACGGATTTAGCAAGGCAGATCTGCACGGATTTAGCCAGAAAACATAACGCAGGTTTAAATAATTTGAATTATACACATTTAACAAGTGTAACTGTACGTTGATCTTCTCCAGTGACTCAGCCTAATTTCAAACCACGCCATCGAGTTCTGTCTTGAGCTCACCTCATCCACAATACTCCGTTTACAACCATTCACCGGGGCACAGTGATCACTGGCTGACAGCAAAGTTCGTAGCATGCCCAGTCCATCGGTTTTAATTTCTCTCACAAATACAACTATATCTTATATTTGACTGTCCTTGTAGCTACATCGGGACACTTTAGACATTCTCCAATCCACTTAAAACATTGCTAAACTCCACTACATTAGCAATAAATAAAAAATAATTGGCCAACGAACGGGTTGCCCGTGCGAAGATGCGTTTTTTGCATAGTTCCCTGCAGTTTTTGTCGCTACTGGCATCGGTTTTTTCGGCAGATGCTTCTAGCTGAACAAATTAAGACTGGCCACCAGAACTGGCAGGAAAGAGCCCCTTAAAATTTCAGCTTTCTAGCTTTCCTGGCTCCTGAGTTATCACCTAATTGGACGGGGAAAATCCCCCTAGGATTTGAGCATTCTAGCTTCTCAGATCCGCGAGTTATGAACTCACCCCAAAAAAACTTTGGCGGGCCCGTCCGCGGGCACCACGCGGGTGATGGCGCCAATTTTTGCGGATTGGGGCCGGCACGTGCATATAGATCAAGTTCCCGAAATTTCAGCCCTACATCTTTTATAGGTCTTTGAGACGAAAGTGCGTGACAGACGCACACACACAGACGCACAGACACACGGACACAGAGACAACCTCTCGTCAATATGCGTTTTTGCATTGCATAGCTGCAAAAAACGCATAACAAATACCACCGGAAGCTAACCTCTTTATCTGATCCCACTTCTGGTATTCTTTTAAATCTTCTTTTTCGTCTTCCAAAGTTTTCAGGCGATCTTTGATGTGTTTGAGCAGTGTTTCAATTTTTTCACTTTTCGCTTCTGAAATAGATTTTTAAAAAGTACCAGCCAAAATGTCAAGAATCGAACTTTGAACACTTAGACATACGTGTTTCACGCAATATTTTCAAGCTTTCCTCTTTTCGCTCATCGTAGACACGAGTTCCGGCCACCTGAAATAATTTTTTTGCATCAGCCAATCTTACCAGTAAATCCAAGAATTTAAAACTCAAAAAATATAAAAAAAATACCCTACCTCTCGCAATAATTTGAGCCTGTAAGAATCCGGCGATATGGCCAATTCGTTGATTTTTCCTTGCTTCACAATATAGTACGGATTTGAACGCGAGAAACCGGCCGATTCCATCAAATTTGACACATAAAAATTCAAAAAAAACAATGAAAACTTATTCTGATTGGCTTTTTTAGTATTTTCGAAACATTGTGTCAAGAAAAAAGAAAGCCAAGAAAGAGTAAAGGAGGGCATCAAGCACGGCTTACCTCACTACGTGTGGACGATTTTGAATCGATGAAATACTGGTCTCTTTTGGCGTTAACGCGGCGCACCACTCGTACCTCAGTTCCCTCAACCTGCAGAAACAAAAAAATGGAATTATACTAGAAGACGATTACAGCCAAAAAGTGCAAAAAATATTTTGCCTAGCGGGAAAAAAAGAAAAAAATAATTGGCCAACGCACGGGCTGCCCGTGCGAAGATGCGTTTA